AATTACCCATCTTCACCATATCAATTAAACGACTATGGCCACTTTTTAATTGCTATTGAAAGTCGACTGTGAAGGAGTCGGTCAACTTATGCAACTGCCAAAGAACTGACGTGGCATCAAGTTCCTGTTCACTGCAAGTAAAATATTAAGTCTCATCAGTCTGGAAGGACTAAACGATGTATCTGATAGAAGACTTCTCCCGAAACAAGCTGGATTCAAGGGAAACAAATCTTGCGTCGATCAAATAGCTACAGTATGCAACATCTCCTAACAAAGTGTAGAATGGTACTCAACACCTTTCCTCAATTTTATTGACCCAGGTTTCACGGGTGATTTGTGTCATGTGTGCCACAAAGTCTAAGACTTGAAAGGGAAAATCTAAAGACAGCTGTCCATTTCAATTACTTGAACTGCTCGTGATCGTTTCAACTATAGGTGACACGAATAAGAATTGGATTAAGAAAGCAAGATAGTAGTTTATTACTCTGTCATCGGTTTGGAAATCTACACACGTACTTAGCTTCCCTTAATTACTGAAGATCGGATAGCTTGCTGGAAATGATAATTTTCAAAGGAGTCGGGTAGACAGAGAACCAACCAACAACCTACTGCTGGAGAGGTATGCATTATGAAGTGGAGATGTGCTGAACATTCTCTGAGGAGACGTCCAAATGACATCTCACAGTGGGTAGGCTGTTGAGGGGAACGTGGATTGGAAGAGATGAAATGAGCACGTATCCGGGGAAGACATGGAGAGTATCATATGGGCAGTTGTAGTGCCAGCTAAAAATGATACTATAGAACCGAGTTCAGTGAGAATTTACTGACGAAGTCGTAAATTTAACTGAGAATACAAAGAAAGAATAGTAATAGTTTTAATAATAAAGAAGACTCCACGGGTTTTTGTTACTATACAGAAGCTAGCCGATTAAGCACTGAAGTCTAATTCATTCGGTGTTTATCATTTTTATTCCCTTTGTTTCCGAGAAGAATGTTTGGCTTCAGGAGGACCTCTCCATTTCATTCTGTCACTTTTACCTGAGTACACAATTCATGTCACCATCGAACGCCTAGCTCGTCCTTTCCCATTCAGGTTCCCCATAATGGCCTGCCTAGTGTGTGATATCACTCGAACATCTCCTCAGCGTATGTTCAGTCCATCTCCATTTCCTTCAGTACACTTTTAGGCGATACGTGCTTAGTTCGTTTGACACCAGAAATCTTTGTTGTCAATTTCCTCTTCAGTGTTGAGTGAAGAAAGCAGCTGAGAAAAGTCTGAAGCCAGTTGGAAATGATGTTGGTGCCGTACATTCCAAATCTATGAACCATATAGAAGCGTTGACTTGATATTTGTCTTAGAAATCCAAGTGTAGACGATTTCTACGCTGATTTCAGACTAGTGAATGTCTGCCTTGTCTTTCTGATCCTCGCCAGTTGGCTTCAACATCCATATCTCTATCAACTGTAGTTGAAATGATGCTGCCTTGATAAATGAGGGAGGTTACTTCCTTTAAATTTCTGCCACTGATGGGTATTGGTATTTGTTGTTATTGGTTAGGTATCGTCATCACCCCTGTATTCTACCTCTTCTGACGACTTTTGTGGCATTAGACATAGTACATCCGTGAAGTTCACATCTTCGAGGGTTTTTTTGTCCGTCCAATATATGCCCGTCTTTCATTCGTTGTAATATCCTACAAAGTAACAGGATATTGGAAACCATAAAGTTTTACTGTTTTGTAGTGTGTTAAGTCAGCACTTTATTCCATTATTTCTTTGATTAACGCAATGATAACACAGTCTAATAGCTACATCCAACATCACGTAATGTTATCTTAAATTGTTCCATGGCTCTGAGGAATCTGTGAACGAACCTGTTATCCATGTACATATCATACTGATATCAAGACACTTTGCTCATCTACCTCTCCACCTGCGTTCCACAGATTATTTAATATATTATTCAAACTATTAGTTATCGCTTACAATTATATAATCCGGTTTACTTCTTATAAGATTGTATAAATTCATTTAAGTTAAACTACTATAAAGCAGAATTCAGTAGCTGATTCTTTGGTAAATTTGCAGTCTTCAAACAGTGAAAACTTACCACTGCTAATGAAGATAAAACGTTTTGAGGAGTAATGGAGCTAGCTGACGACAGTGGTGGTAAGGAACCGATGCAGCATATCTCCCTCGAAAGTGATGGAAGTCATAGCAACACCAATAATGATAATGAATCATCTTTGAGCAGGTACCATGTAAAGCATGCGATTGTTGTCAGTGAAGAAGAAACTATGCTTGGCATTTTATTGATCAGATATGTGACATCCCGATGCAGCAGTTTGAATTTTTGTAGATATTCCTTTCAAGTTTATGGTATTCTTTCATGTTACATTTAAAATTTGAGAGGCAAGAACACTAAGCTCAGCAAACAGATAGATACCTTTTCAGTGATCTCATCTTCAAAAATTGTACAATCGCATTTTTGTATATAAGCTTACATAGTTACGATTATTATTTAGAAAGAAGAGGATACGAAATTCAGCAAACAGATATCTGTCTTTTTGGCGATTTCATTTTCAAAAACTGTACAATCGCATTTAAATACATAATTTTACATAGATACAATTCTTATTTGATTCCACATAATTACGAAGGCGAATAAAAGGTGACAATTATTTTCAACTGCATATGGTTTACGAGAGGCTTAGATACAAAATTACACAGGATTAGAACGATTTACTGATGTATAGAAAATGAGCATGGAAACAAATTGAAATAATAATTTTAGCTTGAAATGGAAGCTAGGAGGTGTGAATATAGATTATAAGAGGCATAGAAACAAAAAATTACGCAGGATTAGAATATAACTGTAAAATAGTTTTCAATGAATTATAAATGTGATCAGGAGGAGCATGCAAACAAACTTAAAATAACTGTTCTTATAACTGAAAAAAATGGGATGAATTGAATGAAGACAGAGAGAATAAGAATCATACACATACAGCGAACGAAAAAAAGAGCAAAAGAACACCAAAAAAGAACAAAATAAGAGCCAAAAAAATGGAGGCTAAGGGAACATACCGAAATAGGTCCATGGTAGTTGTAAAAGTTGGACTGATTTCTTTTGGCCAAACAGTTCCGGTTTTTCGATGCACATTCAGAGGGCTTCCGCAGTACAGAGAAGTTGATTCGTTCTAATCCTGTGTAATTTTGTTTCTAAGCCTCTCGTAAATCATATGCAGTTGAAAATAATTGTCACCTTTTATTCACCTTCGTAATTATGTGGAATCGAATAAGAATTGTGTCTATGTAAAATTATGTATTTAAATGCGAAAAGAGACAAAAGGAGATACTAATTTCCAATTTGATTTGAAGGTTCGAAGGTTTCGATGCAGATCATTAGGGGTACTGAAACAAAATTATGTAGGATTGGAAAATAGTTATCCTCACCACATATATATATGTATATGCATATATATATATATATATATATATATATATAGATCAAGAAGGTAAAGCTATGCGTTCAACCATGAATCTGGTTTGGTTTTACTCGTTGTTTCTCATTTTTTGTTTTCTCATTCCTTTCAGTTTCTCATCTTTAATTTGTTTCTATAAATTTCGCATTCCAACTTGTCTTCGTTAAAAGCCACTTTTACATATTACGCAACCATCAACAATTCCTGGTTCAAACAGGCCATAAATCTACTACTGAAGAGTCTGTTTCTATCATCTACCGGGTATGAAGTAAACTGCCAAACATATCTATGTACTGAACGCTCCAAACAGCAGAGTTGGTTTCACTTCGCCTAAAGTAACTGGAACTCTGTAGAAGAGACCGGTCCAGCCATCTGCTACACTGGTCTGCTATGAAATCTATAAACTCATAAAATTCCTTATTATTTTCCTTAATTTGTCTGATATTCAGTCTAGTGTTATATTGAATAAGTATATTATCATTTAAAGATGCTTTTCAGATATAATCTAGTTCTGTTATAGATGCAATGTAATTTAATTATATTCAGTAAAAATATTAATATTGTTAATAATAATATCTCCTCCAAATACAATGGATATATAACAGTAGAACCAGAGAAGGAAGAAGCGAATATGCTTACCTCATTATGGATAAAATTTGTTTTGATAAAGTCACACACTGTTGTACATTAGTATATACTGATGACGACGTTTCGAGCACAGTTTATTGCTGCTCATAATCATAATCATATTGTAGTGACCCGTTTTATTACTCATCATCGCAGTATACTTTCACTATGTAATTGTACTTTGATTTGTTTATTACTCTAAATCTTGCATGTTAACAATTGATACTTTTGTACTCGCTCGATTTTTTGAATTTTGATTGCTGCAATAATACACTATCGTATTCCTTCGCAAGTGCCTTTTAAATTACGTTGTGGATGTCGAGTAATCGCAACGTCAGGTCACAATTATAAACGCGAAGAAGTACGCAATGGATGGAGACGTTTGGTTGAAGCCCTATTTTCCTTTAGGAACTGAGGGAAACAATAATATTAATTTTGTTCTGCAGTACTTGTTCTGTACTAGAAAATATTTATCTTGCCTGTGCATAGCTGCCTGATGGCAATGTTTAGGTAATTTTGAGTTTTTGATGTTATTATTACTAAAAAGAGCCAAATAGATTCGACAATGAATAACAAATATTCTTCTGTCTTTGCAGTGTTTTATGACTATGCGTAACTCAGAAAATTTTAATTAGATATACAGCTGAGCTTAACTATTGGTTTGCTTCACTCAAACCACAACATGTTGGTTCGGGTTGTTATAAAATTAGGCGAAAAACCAGCAAAAGTGGGTAATTTCAGTGGAGAAAAAAGTGACATTATTGAAAAGTCTAAAAGTTTTGCTCAAATTGTCTGTAATTTGAAAGCTTTCTCAATGTTTACCTTCTCTTACTAATCATTTATGTCACAACCAAAACTACTGAACTGACAACTTAGTTTCAATTCTGTCTATCTAACAATTCGTGACATATATTGACAATAAATCAATTTTATATATATTTTTTAACAGTTATTAATGTTTACTGATTATCTCGACTCTTATTGGTTGAAACATTGTCAAATGACTTCCATTGCACAATTAAGCACCAATCGTATTCACCTAGCCTACTTAGTCATAAACAATATAATACAATCGAAAAATGTAGACTGTCTAAGCAGTTTGATCGGATTTCACCTGACACTATTACTACAACCGTTGCTAAGATGCGTTCATACCTGATTTTCTGTCTAGCTGTCACCTTATTCGCTGTCAATACTTCCAGCGCTGCTACAAAGGATGATGAGTTAGCCGAATCTGTCGAGGATGTGGTAAGTTGACTGACTAAACAAAATATCATAATCCCGTACTGCTTTTTTAAAATTTTTTTTCTCCTAGGCTAAAGCACTTATCAATCTTGGCTTAGATTATGTGATCCGATTAGATGAATGGCTTGATAAAAATGTTGGCAAGAAAGAGCTGAAAGAGATTAAACAGAATTTAGTGAAATTCAGTCAACTTGCTGTGAATTTCATTGATACAAGTAATGACCTGTTAATATGGCATAGATTACTAATACTACTAATAATTTATTTCTTTGTAGCATTTGCGAGTATATTAACGGAAGACGATACAGAAGAGGAGGGAAAGAAGACAAAACATACAGAATTATAAAAATCTCCGTTGTCTGTATTAAACAAGGAATTAAGTCTTGTGTATAAAGAATGTAAATAAAAAGTTTCTCTTTTGAAAAAAAAGTGGATTTGACTTATTGAATTGAAAGTAAGCTGAAGGGGTGGTAAACAGTGTAGACTTTATCTGAGTAATACAGAACGCAAATGATCAGCCCACCTTTTGATGAGACAAAACAAACACTTAAGTTAAAAGTAAAATCAGGAACACAAAATTTGTCTCTAATACAGGTGGATCTACAATTTTACCATGTGAGGAAAAGATATCTGAAACCCTTAATCGGATTACGAACTCAAATAGAGACAAATTTCGTAAGCTATATGGCACCGCTGATCCAATTAAGCCTGACAATGACTATGCGATCAACTACATAGGTTAAACAAGAATATGAGGGTCAATCAAGCTATCGGAGGATATGAATTTAACTGAGTGTAGAATAATTGACTACAAAGTGTGACTTACTTATAGAGAAGCTTGTCAGTTGCAATCTACACACACAGTGGGGCATGGGATCAGAGATACAATCCTAAAAGTTAATATGGGTAGGTGCAGATAGAGGTTGATTACCGAATCTGAGTTCATTAAGTCTACATCAAACACGCACACAATGGAATGGCATCACATGGATACCAGAAATATGAAAAGAAATTATTACCAATAAAATCAAAGGATAAGGGACAATAAAATTATATAGGTTATGTGAGCATCTCGATAGAATTAAGAGCAACAAACTACGCTTGAAACATCATCAATAAATAAATGATACTGTGTCATTCTGCTTTTATCGAAATAAAATCATCGTATGCAGGTAACTAACATCGGATTATAAGGTGACAGGGATAGTTGTCTGTGGCACAGTGGTTAGGACTCCCGTCGACCATGCACATGGTCCGGGGTTCGGTCCCCTGCCGACGCTCTCCCGATATCTATGGTCGGCCTGCGAAATTCGGCCTACCGATATCCATGCTGAAAATTCCATACTTGTATTGAAAATACGGTGTGGCATCAAGCTGTAATGAAAATAATAAAATAAAAATAAAATAAATAAAATCATTTCCTAGGAGATGCATTAATAAAGAATTACGTTGAAGTTATTTGTTTTCCACAGAAGAATAGGGGACGTTCAAAGCAAGGTTAAAACTGTTAAAATAAACAAGCTTCAATTAAAAAGGGAAACATATATAGCGTGTACAATTTACTCATAAGATAAATATCACCATAGGTAAGGTAAAATATCGATTTTCAAATACTGGTTTTTAGAAGTCACGAATTGATGTCACTTAGAGAACCAAGGAGCTCTGAACAGCTGTATAGCCTTTGCTTGGGACTTTTAAGCACTACGCACACATGACTTAGCTAGTGTTCGAACTCAGGACTTTCTGGTTATGCAGTGAGTTCATTTACCATCCAATTACTGAGACGGTATACAATGTCTCATGAATTCTAGGTTCTTTGAATTTACAGTACATATCATCCCACGCGCCTTGGTGGGTCCCAGTGACTTCTCACTAGAACTCCAGCTACATTCTGTGAATAGTTAGCAGTAACCATTTTTTAAATTTCTAATTATTTTTTCCAGGGATCTGACTGGTTTCAAGTTGAGTATACTAAAGAAAAGTAGTTCTATTGAAGTTAACAATAATGGATGTAGGGTAACAAAACACAAAACAGAATATCACTTATACTACTTAACTATCACTAGTAGTGTGAAGTTTTACGCAAAGAAAACTGTCGTAATAACATGAAACCGGTAAATTAAGAATTAACAAAGGAATTGAACTCCTGCATAATATAATTAATATTTAAGATCGATAAATTTTGCTGTCAGGCGCCGAAATCAGCCAAGAAATTGGTATTTATTTATCAGAAGCTGCCATAGCAGCCGCCATACTCAGGATCAGACAAACGTTAAAGAGACCATAGAGTGACATTACTCTTCAATCTCTCTAGTGGGACCTAAATGGGAAATGACGAGTTCAGCATGTGTCTAACGATGACATGGAAGAGATCGTGCAAGGAGGAGATCAAAACTTATACACAATCTTTGAGATAGCTAAAGAGGATTTCAGAGGACAGGATGATATAGGGATGTGCTGTTGAGGACTTATATTCCACTAGGATCCCAAGGGAATTATTATCATTAATTGTTTCTGTATTGGTCCCATTTTAAAATACTAGCCTTTGACGACTGTACCACCATATTGTCTGACAGTATTTAATTGCATTCATTAGGATTTCTGAGTTTCTGTCTTGACTCGTCAATCTTACTGTGGTCAAACATTCTCCACTTAGTCAAACTCAAACCTTCCTATAACCTAACTAGGTCCACCTTACTGAATACACCCACGTGGCTGAATTCACTATCATTGGAATTCATTCTGTAGATTGAGTTATTTTGCCTACTTGTGCCAGTAACCGCCTCTACTTTATGATGGAATTATAATCTCGTATCACAGTGGAGGTGTATGCATTTCCTGAAAAGATCACTAAGAGAGGTGTCGATACTTAATAGATTTGATTTGCAGGTCAAAATATCACTTGGTATATGATGACTGAAGCGAAATAATTTCGCGACTACATAGTTTTATTCGGAACACGATACGACACTAGTGCATTTAGAAAAAGGTGGTGAGAAATACTATTTTCAGTCGCATTACTTCGAGAAACCTTACTTTCACAGTATTGAGCAACCAGCCTATGAACCAGCCTTTCTACTAGTAGCAGTGCTCTCCTTAATAATGGTGGACTGGATCAACCAGCAGACCGTCAAGAAAGAAAAATCGGACTGTTAAATCACCTTGAAATATCCAGTTTTAGAGGATGATTCAAGTTTCATTTTTCACAAATGCTAAGATATGCAAGTGGAAATCAAAAAGTTGATGGAGTAGACACGGAAGACAGAAACTCAGGTAAGCATAGAGAAGACAGAGTTGATGAAGCCACCTAACAAACAAAAACAAACATGAATTACCATCACTGATAGACACCTAAAAGAGGTCGTCTCCATCAATTCCTTACCTGAACAGTATCAATTCTACTACAAATGCCACTGATAAGGATGTTACTGGCAGCCAGGATTGGATGATAGAAGCGAAACTGCCTTTCACTAGTCTGAGATCTCTGGGGAGATCTAAAACAACTAGTTATCATAAGGAATATGATTCGAATTTGTAACACTAATGCCAAGTCGGTACGCACGTGTCACAAAGATCATTTCTGAAAAGGCTACTGAAGGCTTAGTCAACAGAGGCCTTCTCTGTCTCAATACTAAATATCAGATGGCCGGCCAGAAGGGATAAGCATACAACCAGGAACTTGAGTGAGCAGTGAACTAGCCAACATCTGTTGCCTAATGAATGCTCAGAGGGGAACGGAGACGGATTACATATATGTTGAGGTGACATTCCAGTAAGATCGCATGCCGTGTACGCTGTTGTTTGGGATCTGTTTCTCAGTGTCGATTGATCTTCAGTGGCTTTCGAAATTGTATGAATTCGCTCATGATCTTCTTCAGTGAAAGAACTTAATTCTGTTTTAAAATTCTTTATGTATGTTTTATACTATTTTTAGAACTAGAAATACTTTTGGAAACAACATAATTCAGTACTTGATTTCTTTATTAGTCAAAATAAGCTACTTCTAAGTAGTATATGAAGTTTATTAAGAATTTTCGTACACATCTGACTAATAGTAGGAATGTAGTGAGGTTTAAACAACAAACGTTGTAGCATGTGCATACTGTGAATGCGTAGAGTGAGGAATAAAAGGAACATGTCATGAAATGATAAACTTAAAATGACCTCTTCTATCTCAGTCGCTGTATTTAAATAATTTATGATATCGTTTGGTTGTTGGTGGAGTCCCAGAATCCTGTCTCAGTTCTATCTAGTACATATCATCTGAATGTACTTACTTCTAAGTGCGTGAAGGTTTTCCTGTTTGTCTTGAAATACTCATTGTTGATTCCACTAACATCTATACCATGCTAACCTAAAGTAATTGTCAAATCATTCGTATTTGGAACCACTATGTCAGTACCTCGCTGGAAAAACCCGTCAAATTCAAGTGTTGGTATGCACGGATTCTAGAGGTTTCAGGATTTCATCAAGAATTGACATCGGTTAAAGGACCATTGGAAAACCTAGGAATACTGGACAGCTGTTTCGTCCTAGTTTGGGACTCTTCGGAATAAGATGAACTCCAATGGTCACTATTTCTGGATTTCTGGTGGGAAATCGTGACCGGTGGAGTCCATTCTGTTGAGAATGAAGACAATTGCTTGCCGTTCAAATTGGCTAGTGGTCACGCTAAAACCACGATTTTGTAGAAGTTGGAATTCATGGGTTCACCAGTAAGTCTGTTGCGTGTTCTCTTTGACTAAATGAGCGTACACGTATTTCCTAGTACTTCTTCACGTTTATCAATGTGCGCAGACGTTGTGGCTACTCGACGCCCACAACGTAAAATCGGAAGGCACTTGTGAAGAGTATAATCGTGTATTATAGCAGTAGTCAAATTTCGAAAATGTATCAAGGTAACGTTCAACAGTAAATTGGCAAATGTTTACGAAGTACATATAAAATCGGTATGTGTAAACATATAATATGAGTAAGCAAATTAGATTAAAAACGTATGTTTATAGTTGGTACAGGGGTACTACATAATTCCCCCACCAGAACACTGAAATATAAAAAAAATACATTTAAGTGTTCGACAATAACATGCATCAGCGTAATACGTAACAGCTACAGTACACAGAAAGCGATTTATTAAGCTGAAAAAATGAGCAATTTAATGCGGTCAATAAGGCCGATAATAAATGCGATAATAAAAGAAAAAATAGGATTGATGGTCGTGGTAGAATATACAAGGAATGATACAATCGGCCGGGGATCTGTAGTCTGTATACGGAAACGATACGTGAATATTAAGCGCTATATGATTAAATGTAATAATACAGGAAATATCGATGTTAAAATAGTAGTGACGTGATTTACGTATGAAAATATTGATCAGTTAAATGAGCAGTCAAATGACAATTACGAATAAAGATAATAAATATGAA